CTCTTAAGTAAAAACTTAAGAACAGAACTGTTGGTTCTTAACAGTAATACAAGAAATTTCTGTATTGTTTTCCAAAAGGGTTTCATCAATTTACATTCATATTAACAATATTAGAAAGTTTTAACTGGTTTACACCTAAGGTGACATTTGTTCTTTTAAAACTTTTAACTTAATCTCCCTAATGAGTGTATTATATTATCTTGTTATTGTACTGATTAGTATTTGTCTGATTCTGGTGTTGCACAACTTTCCTTGTGCTGTACTGACTATTTATCATCTTCTTGTGTTTACTTTTTAATTGTGTTGTCTATTAATGAGCTGTAGGTGTTCTTTATATATTCTGGTTATATGTATTATGTGTATCATAAGTTATATGTATTATAAACATGTTGTTTTTAGGGACTACTTTTCATTTTCTTAAAGATGTCTTTTAAAGTTCAAAATTTTGATGGAATCTCATTTATCAATTTTCTTCTTTTATACATCATATTTTTTGTATCCTAGGAAATTCTTGTGCACCCTAAATTCATGAACATTTCCCCTTATAACTTCTTCTTAAAGTTTTATAGTTTTAGTCTTTCATACTTAGGTTCATAGATGTTTTCAAGCTGTTTTTATGTATGAAAATAAAGGGTTGAGGTTAATTGTTTACATACCGATACCAGGTGTTCTAGTACCATTTGTTGAAAACACTATCTTTTCCTCTGCTCTTGAGTTGAATTTATGTTCTATAAAATGTTAATGTTAAATAATCTTTCAAAAATTAATGGACCATTTATGTGTGGTTCTAGTTCTAGATTCTCTATTTTAGTCCATTGATCTATATTGTCTTTCCTTACACCAACATTGCCTTGATAACTGTAGCTTTAGAGGAAGTCTTAAAATTAAGTAATAAATATCTTCCAATACTGTTAATAAAAAGGAATAAATGAGAAGACACAAAGATCAGAACAAAGCAATATAGTTGGTTTAAATTTTAAAAATCAATGTAATTCATGCATTAACAGAAATAAGGAGAAATACATGAACATAAAAATACATAAGCATTAATGAAATCTGACAGCTTCTTATGATAAAAATTTTTTTATTCTCTCAGAAAAGATAGGAAGGTCATGAATCTGAACTTTGTTAAATTTAACCAAAGTTATGAAAAATCTTTCTTAATGGTAAATCAATAAAAGTTTTCCTGTTGAGAAAAAAGATGTCTGCTATGTGTCTTTTCTGTTAAACACTGTACTGATGTTGCCAATATTAGTAATTAGAGAAAATAGGAAGGATTTAGAATTCTCATATTCAGCTTGGGGAAATGAAAATTGGTACAGCCACTTTAAAACTTGGCAGCATCTATTAAAATTGGATAGTCACACAATGACCATTTAATGACAGAAATGCATAACCTGTTCACCAATGGATATGTGTATTTGTTCATGGCAACATTATATTAGTCACAAAATGAATACATTAATTGTGGTAGCATCAAAACAAACTTTGGAATATGATTTCAGTATTGAAATTAAATGAACTCCTTCAACAAATGAAATAGAAGCAAGACAAAATAATATGTAATGCATAATTTCATTTATATAAAATTCAAAAATATGTAACAGTAGCCTATAGTAGTAGAAATCAGGATAGTGGTTAGTTTTGGAGAAGAATGAGGATAATGACCCAGTAAGGGAAATTGGCTTCTGAATCTTTTGTTTTATTTTTCTTGAATTGTCTTTTCATTTTAATTCTTGACTTGGATAGTAATTTCATGGGTATGTTTCCTTCATCATAATTCATACATAATAAATATGTATTTAAAAATAAAGCACCAAATAAGAGAAAGTTATAAACTATGAATCAAATGAATCAATCCATCTCTTCCTCTTCTTTCCTTCCTTTTTTTCCTTCACTTCCCTTTCTTCTTCTCTTCCTGCCTACTCCCTCTTTGCCTTCTCCTACTCTTTTTCTCTCAATATTGAAGGCATTGTCACTGAAGTCAGAAGGAAGGCAAGAATGCTCACCTTCTCCACCACTTTTAACTTTATAGGATGTTTTATCAATGCAATTAGGCAAATACAACAAGAGGCATAAAATTGGAAAGGAAGAAATAAAAGTCTATATTTTAGATTATATGATAACCCTGGAATAACTAAGGGAATCCATGTTGAAACAAATATAAATAATGAATTTAGAACGTTGCTTACTAAAATCCAACTATAGAAATTATAATCTTTTAGAAATAATGAAGAGATGAACCCATATAAAATAGGAAAATTTTTAAACTTCCTGAAAGATATAAAAGAATACTTGAATAAATGGAGCACATCTTTTATTCTTGCTTTAGGTATCTAATTAGTTTTCCTCTTTCTCAAGCTTGCTTTTTTCTTGACTTTTAAAAATAAAATGTTTATATCATGAAACACTTGAAAATTTTATTTCCATATGTATTTAAGATCATCTGCCTCCCACAAGTTTCAATATGAAGCATTTTTCCCGTTTTATTTCATACATTTCATTAAGATTGTTTCTTTGCCCATTATTTAAATAGAACTGTTTTAGTTTCTAAAATATTTTTTCAGTGACCTTTAATTATCACTGTGATTAGAATCTAGTATGTACAATTTTGATTCTTTGTTATTGAATAATATTTAACAAATACCTACTTCAGACATAATTTCAGATCCTGATGACATAATGAACAAGTTACCCTACTTCTTTGTCTTTTTGTTACTTAAATTATATTGTGAGAGTCATTTTTTTAAAACTTCATGCAAATATAATTGTGGCTTGGCATAGTAAACATTTTGGTGATATGATTGCTAAGTGGTTTTGTTTTGGTCTTGATCCCTCATTATTACAGAGTGACCTTATCTAATGTCTCCTGAATGTCAGGGGCTACTTATCTCTTGCTTCATTCTGTAAGTGATTTTAATGTCAGATTTCCTGTATTACAGTATTATCTGGTTATCTCTTTATGATATTCTGATGCTCAGTATTTTGTGATTTACCCAGATTATTACTAATAATGTTTTATAGACAATTTTTATCATTCCCACATTCATTTTGAAAAAGTATTTTAGAATAAGACTTTATGACATAGGGCTCAAAGTTTGAAAAATTATATTATTCATTTTCTTGCCTAATGATATTTCCAAATTTAGACTAACAGAGTTTCTTTTCCTTAGTTTCCTATGTGCAACAGAAATTGGTCTTATTTTCTCTGATATGTACAAAAGAATAGATTGAAGTTAAAATGTATCTTACTGTACTTTATATGACTTTATATGAATTTTATTTTAATAAGTATTTAAATATATATTATTTTGACATTTATGTAACAAAAATTTAAGTTAGTTTGTAAAGAAGTTCAATTTTTGTCAAATTAATTTTAAAATTATTGTGTATAGCTTAATAACTAAGTATATGTTGTAGGGCTGAGGATTTAGCTCAGTGGCACTGCGCCTGCCTCGCAAGCACAAGGTCCTGAGTTTGATCCCCAGTACCCAAAAAAAAAAAAAAAGTAAGTATACGTTGTAGCATAAAAATTGCTTTAATGACAATATTAAAATTTTATCTGTTCTCAAATTCTTGTGTAATATTTTAAAATTACCATAATTATTAACTTTAAAACAAACATCAATCATTGTTCATAATGTGAATCTCTTGGAAAACTTTATAAATTTGGAGGGTTTATAAACTGTCAGTTTAAAATATTTAAATCAATAAGAAAATAGGATTTGATGTAAAGAAGTTTGAAGCCAAATTTTTTACCATATATTTCAAGTGAATAAGACTGAACTGGTGTATTAATAGTTGATTAAACATTCCTTTTCATCCTCATTTTCTATCCCATTAATCTTTTCCTCCAATTTTCACACTTATTTTTATAGTGTCATATATATTCATGTTTCCCTAATTCTTCTTTAGAATTAGCATTCATTTAGTAAATGTTTTTATTGAAGCAAAATTTACTTGCTATTTTAATTGTCCATAAAATATATACATATTTATAGGTTACCATGTGATATTTTGATAGGGCATATATGTTGCCTCAATTTCTTTGTGATGAAAACATCTTAATGTAGGAAACTTATATTGAAGCTCTAGAAAAATAAGTATTATAAGTAAAGTTATCATGACTTTTTTATTTGAGCCTTGTTAATCTAATATCAAAACTAAGAAAACTATTGTTTTAATATTTTTCAGCTGCTAATAGGTTATGAAAATGGTACTGTAGTATTCTGGGACTTGAAATCTAAAAGAGCAGAACTGAGAGTTTATTATGATGAGGTAAGTGACTTCTAAAATACTTAAAAAGAGTTTTGTCATTTTGTGTCATTTTTTTGTTTTAAAATTTGTACTTTACCAGCATTTTTTATCATTGGAAAACTACTTGGTTCTGATACAGTGACTCTCATTCTCTTCTGTTGTTCACATACGTTTCTACTCTGGATTATTCTCCTGGGTGGGAATTTTGCCTTGGCTGCCAATTTTTGTTTTGTTTTGCTTTTGCAGTTCATGTACTTTGAATCCTGCAGTATCCTTTATTCCTACTTCTGTCTCAACTCCTTTTCTTTCCTGTAGGTTCCCTGCTTATCTGTTGCCTTATGGTCATTACAGTCTTAAAACACTGTTTTCACATTCCTTAGAAAATTTATTTTCTATGGCAAAAAGGTTAAGTTAGGTTGAAATGCCATATTTTCTAATACTTAACCTCAGAATAAAGTGAGATTTTATAAATGGGAACACTCAATACATAACTGTAAGATCTTGAAATTTTATTGTCCATAACTAAGACCTGATTAAGTTTTCACTTAGGAGAAGCAGCAAACGCTCATTTAAAAGAATAGTCTCCTGGTTGACACTTTCAGTTCAGACATTAATTCCAGGCAATTAATTATTTCCCTTTTCAGAAGACGCTAATATGAAGACAGTGAAGTAAAGGTAAAAGATGAAAAGGGGAATTATTTCTTATGGGTGTTGAAATAAAAGTGATCATGTATACTATGAAATTTGAAAAATGGTGGGAGTGGAGAGTGATAGTGATGAGTAATATCCACTCTTACATGGTAAGAATGCCAAATAATTTTAAGGCAGCACTTAAATAAATAGAAAACATAACATACACACAAGCATAACCATACTCATTCTTTTGTTTCACTTCCATTGGGAAAAAAAACGTCACCAGATGAGCCTGTTATTGCCCTAGCATATTTTGCATGTTTTTCCCCATCCCTTTATATCAGCTAATTTTTTGAAGTTTGGGTGATTAAAGAAATAAAAGATTTCATAAACTCAATAATTCAATTCTTAGTGATGGTCTCAAATTAATATTTTATGGTATATGTAAAATAGTAGGATAGTGAAGACCTCAGAAGTAAATGATATAACATATAGGTAATTTGGCGAGTGTGTTCTTCATATCAATTTTTAGGGCATCTGAAATCCTAAGGAAAGAAGACCTTTTAGGGCTAAGCTAGCATTTTTGTTGTTGTTGTTGTTGTTAAATACACAAAAATAAAGAGTATGGATACTATTCCCTTTCTCAAAAGTAGCAGCTATGGGCTGGGGATTTAGCTCAGTGGTGCCGCTGGCTGCCTTGCAAGCGCAAGGTCCCGAATTTGGTCTCCAGTACCCCACCCCTAAATGAATAAAAATGTACCAGCTAGACAAAAGTCCAAATACCACCTGAATATTTATCCAAGTGGAATTAAGGTAGACCAGGCTAATAAGAAACCTGGAGGAAAATGCTGAATTACCTAGTTTTTCTGTGGCATAGAAAGTGTGGAAGTTTTCCAACTTTAAAAAGTGATTAAAAGTAATTTTCTAATGAAATTTTAAAATGATTAGTAACAACCTATGTTAGTACAGTATAATAATATACCTAATTTATGTCTAGGGATTAATTTAAATATTGACTTCTATGTATATAAATCTATCATCTATTTGACTACTTTAATGGAGACTTCTATGTCTTGTTATTTTAATCTTGATATTGAGAAACTTTAGTGTAAAAACTTTTAATTTTTGTAGTACTTTGCCTCTCATATCTAGAAACGTTCCATAAT